CTTCCCCTTCCCACTCCCTCCCCCCTTCCCCAACCCTACTCCCACCCCCTCCCCGTCACCCAAACGAGTCCGCGCAGCGCCAACGACCCCCCGACTACTTCCCCGCCCCGATCAAACAGCTTGGCTAGCGGCGCCGGTAACCCAAGCCGTCGCTCGTAATTCGACACAGGGGCCCGCTCACACCTTCGTCCTTAAGAGAATACAACGTCCCGATTTATGGTCTCTCTGCTCTGTGCATTACCTTCGCTGTACGTTTCGCTTTGTGACTTTCGTTTGGTAGGCGGTTGGTTTGAGTTTTTTTTTTTATCTGTCTGTCTGTCTGCTTGTGTTTGCTTGTCTATCTGTCTCTATTTATATAAATAATCTATATCTATATCTATATTTATATCTATATCTATGTCTATGTCTATGTATATGTCTATGTCCCTTTCTCTCTCTCTCTCTCTCTCTCTCTCTCTCTCTCTCTCTCTCTCTCTCTCTCTCTCTCTCTCTCTCTCTCTCTCTCTCTCTCTCTCTCTCTCTCTCTCTGAGGAGGAGACTTTCTTGTCTGTTTGTCTATCTGCCTGTCTGTCTGTCTATGTCTATGTCTATGTCTATGTCTATGTCTATGTCTATGTCTATGCCTATGTCTATGTATATGTCTCTGTCTCTACGTCTATGTCTATGTCTATGCCTATGTCTATGTCTTTGTCTATGCCTATGTCTATGCCTATGCCTATGTCTATGTCTATGTCTATATCTATGTCTATGTCTGTTTGTCTGTCTGTCTGTATTTGTTTGTTTATTTATTTGTTTGTTTGTTTTGTTTGTCTGTCTCTATCTCTGTCTGTCTCTGTCTGTCTGTCTGTCTGTCTCTCTCTCTCTCTCTCTCTCTCTCTCTCTCTCTCTCTCTCTCTCTCTCTCTCTCTCTCTCTCTCTCTCTCTCTCTCTCTCTCTCTCTCTCTCTCTCTCTCTCTCTCCTCTCCCTCTCCCTCTCCCTCTCCCTCTCCCTCTCCCTCTCCTCTCCCTCTCTCTCCCTCCCTCCCTCTCTCTTCCTCTTCCTCTTCCTCTTCCTCTTCCTCTTCCTCTTCCTCTTCCTCTTCCTCTTCCTCTTCCTCTCCCTCTCCCTCTCCCTCTCCCTCTCCCTTTTCCTTTCCCTTTTCCTTTCCCTTTCCCTTTCCCTTTCCCTCTCCCTCTTACTCTCCCCCTCTCCCTCTCCCCCTCTCCCTCTCCCTCATCCTTTCCCTCTCCCTCCCCCTCCCCCTCTCATTCTCCCTTCCCCTCTCACTCTCCCTCCCCCTCTCACTCTCCCTCCCCCTCTCCCTCTCCCTCTCCCTCCCCCTTTCACTCTCCCTCTCCCCCTCCTCTCCCCCTCTCCTTCTCTCTTCCAGACGCAATCAACAAAAACAAAACAACGAGGCCGCCAGCCCATCGGCCCGCCCTCGGGAGATGCTTGCTATGCTGCTTACTGCCCTGTATTTTTGCGTCGCTCTTGCTACGCTGTTTTGTTTTCCTTCTCCTTCTTACTTTTTCTGACAGGGATATCTTCATATTTTTCCCGCTGATGTCGCGTGTATGCATTATTCATGCTCCGGAAAATGTAGGCTTGTAAAAAGAAAGAGAAATGTTTTTTCTTTGTTGTTCTCTCCTCTGCTGTCTCTCTCCCTCTCTCCTTCTCTCTACTGTCTTCCATTCTCTCCTCAAACCTCATTTTTCTTTATCATTTCCCTCTCTTTCTTTTTTCTTTCTCTCTCCGTTTCTCATACTCCCTCAACCTCTCCTTCTTCTTCCCATCCTCTCCACTTCTCCCTCTCTCTCGCTTCCTCAATCTCTCCAACCTTTCCTTCTTCCACTTTCCATTCCTCAACCTCCCTCAAATTCTGCAACTTTCCCCCTATTCCTCTTCCTCTTTTTCTTTTCCTCACAGTCTCCATTCTCACCTCTCCTCCTCCCTCCCTTCTCTTCCTCTCTTCCTCCCTTCCTCTCTTCCTCCCTTCCCTCTCCTCCCTTCCTCTCTTCCTCCCTTCCCTCTCCTCCCTTCCCTCCCTTCCTCCCTTCCCTCCCTTCCTCCCTTCCTCTCACCCTTCCTTACCTGGGGTGTCGACCACGGTCAGCCTCAGCTTCACGCCTCTCTCCTCTATTTCAATCGTCTTCTTCTCGATGCTCACCGTCTTCTTGACCATGGCTGCCGAGGGAAAGGGAAAGATTCCGTTACTGGGATTAGTGGTTTGCAGGCAGCGAGGGAGATGGGGAGGGGGTAGTACGGTTGGGGGGGGGGGGGTAGTAATAGGAGAAGGGAGGAAGGGGGAGGAGGGGGAAGAGGAGGGGGAGGGGGGGGAGGAGGAGGGGGAGGGGGGGAGGGAGAGGGGGGAGGGGGAGGGGGAGGAGGAGGGGGAGGAGGAAGAGGAGGTGGAAGAAGAAGAGGAGGAAGAAGTGGAAGAGGAAGAGGAAGAGGAATAGGAAGAGGACGGGGAAGGGAAGCAGGAAAACCGAGAGGAAGGAATGACCGAGAACGAAAAGGATGAATAGAGAGATGAAAATAGAAATAAGAGCCGAGAAACAAATCAGAAAAAAATAAAATAAAATGATGTAAAGACCAATAATAATGAAAAACGAAAACGAGGAAATGAGAAAATGAAAAAAAGAAAAAAGAAAAAAATATATTAATAATAATAATAATAATAAGAGAAAGAGAAGAAAAAGCATAAAATAAGGGACAGATGAAAAGAGACAAAACCAAAGGAATAAAAAAAATAAAAAGATAAAAAGAGGAAGAAAGCAAGGAGAGAGACAAATCTCGCGTCTTGAATCACTCGGGACAAAGGCGGGCCGAGGGTTGCATGTTGGCAATCTCCCGGTGTCAGCCAGAAGTGGCATAGGCCGAGGGGGGGAGGGGCGTGGCGGAGGACCAAGAAAGAGGAGGAAAAAACAAAAAAGGAAAGGAGCAAAAGGGAGAAGAAGGAGAGGGAAGGATATCTACATGGAAAGGGAGGAGAGAATGGTATGATTAATGATGATGATAGTAATATGATGGTGATGTTGATCATGATGATCAGGATAATGGTAATGATAATGATGACAATGATGATGATGATGTTGCCGTTGATGATGAAATTGATGATGATGATGATGATGATGATGACGATGATGATAATGATGATGATGGTGATGATGATGATGATGATGATGACGATGATGATAATAATGATGATGGTGATGGTGACGATGATTGATGATGATGATGATGATGATGATGGTGATGGTGATGGTCACGATGATTGATGATGATGATGATGATGGTGATGGTGACGATGATTGATGATGATGATGATGATGATGGTGATGGTGATGGTGATGGTGACGATGATTGATGATGATGATGATGATGATGATGATGATGATGATGATGATGATGGTGGTGCTGGTGGTGCTGGTGATGATGTTGATGATGATGATGGTGGTGGTGATGGTGGTGGTGGTGATGATGATGACGGCGACGATGAGGAGGAGGTGACAATGATGCTGATGATAGTGATGATGATGATAATAATGGTGATGGTGGTGGTGGTGGTGGTGATGATGATGACGGCGACGATGAGGAGGAGGTGACAATGATGCTGATGATAGTGATGATGATGATAATAATGGTGATGGTGGTGGTGGTGGTGGTGATGGTGGTGGTGGTGATGGTGGTGGTGGTGATGATGATGATGATGGTGATGGAGATGGTGATGATGATGATGATGATGATGATGATGATGATGATGATGATGATGATGATGGTGGTGGTGATGGTGGTGATGATGACGGCGACGATGATGACGAGGAGGAGGAGGTGACGATAATGACAATAATGCTGATGATGATGTTGATGCTGACAATGGCGATGATGATGGTGGTGGTGGTGACAATGCTGATTTTAATGAGGATGTTAATGATAATGATGATGGTGATAATGATGATTATGACCATGATGATGATGATGCCAATGATGATGATGGTGGTGATGTTAATGATGATGATTATGACGATGATGATAATGATGATGTTAATGATGATGACAATGATGATGGTGATGTTAATGATGAAGATGATGGCGCTGATGATGATGATGATGGTGATGTTAATGATGATGGTATTGATGATGATGATGATGATGATGGTGATGATGATGATGATGATGATGATGATGATGATGATGATGTTGATGCTGATGTTAATGTTAATGTTAATGCTAATGTTGATGATGATACTGATGATGAGGAGGAGGTGAGAAGGAGAAGACGAGGTTAAGGAAGAGGAAAAGGATGATAATCATGATGGTGACGATGATCATCATAAGTGCGATGATGGTGATGTTAATAATGATGATGTTTATGACGATGTTGATGATGATAATGATAATAATGATGATGACAATGATGATGATGATGATGATGATGATGATGATGATGATGATGATGATGATGATGATGACGATGATGATGATGATGACGACGACGACGACGACGACTATGATGATGATAATGATGATGATTATGATGATGATGATATATGATGATATATGTTGATGTTGATGATGAGGAGGATCAGGAGGAGGAAAAGGAGGATAATCATGATGGTGACGATGGTGATTATCATCATGATTATTGGTGGTGGTGGTAGCGATAATGAATATAAAAATAAATATGACGATGGTGATAACAACACTAATCATAATAATGCTACTACTACTAATAATAAATCAAAACAACAACAATAATAGCACAAACAATAAACAAACACAAACACTACAACCTAACTAACCAAAGGGAAAAAAAAAAGAAAAAAAGAGAGGCAGACAGGCAGACAGACAGACAAGTCCCCTAGCCCCAGCAACGGAAGGCCGTACTCACACTCTCCGGTGGGGATCTTCCTCTCCTTGTACAGGTCAGTCAGGAAGAGGCTGTTGACGAGCGTGGACTTGCCGAGCCCCGCCTCCCCGACCACCATGAGCGTGAAGTCGAACCCGCGCTTTACGCTCTTTCGGTGCACCTGCTCCGGCAGCGTGGCGAACCCGATGAACTCCTGCGTGTTCTGCGGGGGAAGGGAGAGGAGGAGGGTCAGAACGGTTATTGGGGGGGTGAGGGGTGTTCTTCGGGGAGGGAAAAGGGGGAAGGGAGGGAGGGGTGTGTTCTTTGAGGAGGGAGAAGGAGAAGGAGAGGGAAAAAGGGGAAGGGGGGGAGGGGGAGGGGGAGGGGTGTTCTTCGAGGAGGGAGAAGGAGAGGGAAAAGGGGGAGGGGGGTGTTCTTCGCGAGAACTCGAAATTCTGGATTTGGAAGGACGGGGTGGGGGGTGGGATGGAGTGGCGGAAATTAATATCGCGATTGGCGCTGCGCTTGGGAATCGCTGGCGAATGAATTGATGGATGTGTGTGTGTGTGTGTGTGTGTGTGTGTGTGTGTGTGTGTGTGTGTGTGTGTGTGTGTGTGTGTGTGTGTGTGTGTGTGTGTGTGTGTGTATGTGTGTGTGTGTGTGTGTGTACGTGCGTGTACGTGTATACATGTGTATGTGCGTGTACATCTGTGTTTGTGTCCTCTGTGAAAGGCCCTACCCAGACGCGAGCAGGACGGGCGGCGCACCCTCCCCGCGCAAAGACAAATCCTCGCAGCGCTGAGCAGGCGGGCCAAGAGCGAGAGACAAAGGCCTTCTCGTTCGCCCTCAACTTAAACAATACTGGGGCGGAAGTCTTGATTATTTGCCCCATCCAGACTCCATTGTGGGGCCTCTTCAACCCATTTCAACCCGTCGCCCTCCCCTTCCCCCTTCCCCCCTCCCCCCTTTCCACTCTTCCACCCTTTCCCATCCCCCTCCTCCCCTCCTCCCCCCCTTCTCCTCCTCCCCTCCTTCCCTTCCTCCCCTCCTCCCCCCCTTCTCCTCCTCCCCTCCTCCCCCCCTTCTCCTCCTCCCCTCCTTCCCTTCCTCCCCTCCTCCCCCCCTTCTCCTCCTCCCCTTCTCCTCCTCCCCTCCTTCTCCTCCTCATTTCCCCCTTTCAATCTTCGCTGTTCAATGAGTAAATCACGTGGCCCAGCAGATATATTTTTTTTTCGTTAAGTTCTCCATATTACAGATAACTCTGCGGCATGACTATAGAATCTACGCGGAACTGAGATTCTGCAATAATACACTTTACCTATAAAGTGTATGTGTATGTGTATATGAAAGGGAGGGGGAGGGGAAGGGGAAGAGAGAGGGAGAGGGGGAGGGAGGGAGGGAGGGAGGGGGGAGGAGGAGGGGAGAGAGGGGGAGTGAGGGGGAGGGGGAGGGGGAAGGAAAGGGAGAGGGAGAGGGAAGGGGGAGAGGGAGTGGGAGAGGAAGAGGGAGGGAGAGAGGAAGAGGGAGGGAGAGAGGGAGGGAGATAGGGAGGGAGGAAGAGAGGGAGGGAGGGAAGGAGGGAGGGAAAGGGAGGGGGAGGGAGAGAGAGAGGGAAGAAGGAAGGGCAGCCCCTACCTCCTTCTCCCCTTCCCACTCGCTCCCCGCTGCTGGAGGGCTCAGGCAACATTTTCCGAAGGGGGGGGGGGGGCGGACGGCACAGGCTCCTCCTCCTCCTCCTCCTCCCTCCTCCTCCTCCTCCTCCTCCTCCTCCTCCTCCTCCTCCTCCCCCTCCTCCTCCTACTCCTCCTCCCCCTCCTCCTCTTCCCCCTCCTCCTCCTCCTCCTCCTCCTCCTCCTCCTCCTCCTCCCCCCTCCTCCTCCTCCTCCTCCTCCTCCTCCTCCTCCCACAACTCCTCCTCCTCCTCCCCCCCTCCTCCTCCTCCTCTTCCTCCTCCTCCTCCTCCTCCTCCTCCTCCTCCTCCCTCCTCCTCCTCCTCCTCCTCCTCCTCCTCCTCCTCCTCCCCCCCCCCCTCCTCCTCCTTCCCACTTGGTGAATGGAGGAAAGATAAGAGTTGTGGGTCAATGAGCCACTTTTGTTTGCACTTCATCACATACCATCGTTTGCCTCACTATCATCACTGTCACTACCATCACCCTGTTTATTATTATCGTTATGACAGTCATCCTTATCCCTATTCGCCATCATCATCGTCATCCTACCCCTCCTCGTCATCGTCTTCGTCGTTAGTATCATCATCTTCATGCTCATCAAACTCACTGTCATCATTACCCTCATATATCACCATTTTTTTTTTTTTTTCTGAAGCGTGACCACCATATTCTGGCTTCCTTCGCGTTCAAATATTTTCCTTCACCATCTGCCGCATGCCATCCCCCTTAACCCCCCCTTCCTCCCTCCCTCCTTCCCTCTGCCCCCGCTGTCACCATCCGGCCCCACCATCTCCCCCTCCTCTCCCTCGCCCCCCCCCCTCGGAGGCTGCAGGCACGGCAGATGACGATGCTTTCGAAGCCGCATCGTCGCCACTGCTTTCCCTCCTCGATTCAGTTCCTGCTGTTCCTTTCTCTCTCTCTCCTTCCCTCTCTCCATCTTTACTCCCCGCTTGCCAATTCTCTTCTCCCTTTCTCTCCTCTCCTCTCCTTCCCTCTCTGACGATGACGATAACGATAATGATAATGATAAGATAATTATGAGATAATGGTGATAATAATAATAATCATAATAATAGCAATATTAAGAAGGAAATATAACAAAAGCAATAATGACATTGATAAGACTAACAACAACAACAAAATCAAACGTAACAATAATAAACAACAACAACAACGATGCTAATAAACACAACAATAATAAAGGTCATTAAAAAAAAATAAACAAACGAAAAAATAAACAAACAGACACGACATCCAAAGAACCACCACCATAATTAATGAAATTCACCCCTTCATCCGTACAGCAGAGCACAAGCAGCGCTCACTCATTACCGAACGACCGACGCCTCCGCCCCTCTCGCTCGACCGGAAACGCAAGGTCGTCAGTAGTCACCTGCTTCAGCTACCAGTTAACAGCTGATAATTTCGAAGGTAAAAAGCTTTCTGTGATCATTCGAAGGACAATTTTTTTTCATACAAACAACAATTATTGAGTCACTGAACAAGAAGCCATGAGTCAGTGAACGCGCACTCGTGAGTCATTGAACACCGAGAGCGTCTGGCAGGTGTTCGGTGTGCTGGTAAGCTCGTCCGAACATCATAGCCGTCAACAGCAGAAGCACGGGGCCCGAGGAGATGAGATTCTGCGGTTGCGTCATTGCATACAAGATGTTTTATCGATTATATCTTCTTCTCCTTCTCCTTCTCCTTCTCCTCCTCCTTCTCCTTCTTCTCCTTCTTTTTCTCTTTCCTTTTCCTTTTCCTTTTCCTTTTCCTTTTCCTTTTCCATGTTCTCTTTCTCCTTCTCCTTCTCCTTCTCCTTCTTCTCCTTCTCCTTCTCCTTCTCTTTCTTTCTCTTTCTCTTTCTTTCTCTTTCTCTGTCGTCGTCGTCGTCCTTCCTTTTCCTTTTCCTTTTCCTTTTCCTTGTTCTCTTTCTCCTTCTCCTTCTCCTTCTCCTTCTCCTTCTCCTTCTCCTTCTTCTCCTTCTCCTTCTCCTTCTCCTTCTCCTTCTCCTTCTCCTTCTCCTTCTTCTCCTTCTCCTTCTCCTTCTCCTTCTCCTTCTCCTTCTCTTTCTTTCTCTTTCTCTTTCTTTCTCTTTCTCTAATAAGAATAAGAAGAAGAAGAAGAGAGAATAAGAAGAAGAATAAGAATAAGAAGAAGAAGAAGAAGAAAGAAGAAGAAGAAGAGAAGAAGAAGAAGAAGAAAGAAGAAGAAGAAGAAGAAGAAGAAGAAGAAGAAGAAGAAGAAAGAAGAAGAAGAAGAGAAGAAGCAGAAGAAAGAAGCAGAAGAAAGAAGAAGAAGAAGAAGAAGAAGAAGAAGAAGAAAGAAGAAGAAGAAGAGAAGAAGAAGAAGAAGAAGAAGAAGAAGAAAGAAGAAGAAGAAGAGAAGAAGAAGAAGAGAAGAAGAAGAAGAAAGAAGAAGAAGAAGAAGAAGAAGAAGAAGAAGAAGAAGAAGAAGAAGAAGAAGAAGAAGAGAAGAAGAAGAAGAAGAAGAGAAGAAGAAGAAGAAGAAGAGAAGAAGAAGAAGAAGAAGAAAGAAGAAGAAGAAGAGAAGAAGAAGAAGAAGAGAAGAAGAAGAAGAATAAGAATAAGAAGAAGAAGAAGAAGAGAAGAAGAAGAAGAGAAGAAGAAGAAGAATAAGAATAAGAAGAAGAAGAAGAATAAGAATAAGAAGAAGAAGAAGAATAAGAATAAGAAGAAGAAGAAGAAGAAGAAGAAGAAGAAAGAAGAAGAAGAAGAAAGAAGAAGAAGAAGAGAAGAAGAAGAAGAAGAATAAGAATAAGAAGAAGAAGAAGAAAGAAGAAGAAGAAGAATAAGAATAAGAAGAAGAAGAAGAAGAAGAAGAAGAAGAGAAGAAGAAGAAGAAGAGAAGAAGAAGAAGAAGAAAGAAGAAGAAGAAGAAGAAGAAAGAAGAAGAAGAAAGAAGAAGAAGAAGAAGAAAGAAGAAGAAGAAGAAGAGAAGAAGAAGAAGAAGAATAAGAATAAGAAGAAGAAGAAGAAGAAGAAGAAGAAGAAGAAGAAGAAGAAGAAGAAGAAGAAGAAGAAGAAGAAGAAGAAGAAGAAGAAGAAGAAGAAGTAGGAGGAGGAGGAGGAGGAGAAGGAGGAAAAGGAGGAGAAAAAGACAAAAAACGGAGAGAGAAAAGGCAGGTGACGAGAGAGAGCTTGAGAGGAGAGGGAGAAACGAGCCGATCGCCCCCCGAGCGCGGCCCGCCCTCGGAGAGCCTCCCCTACCTCGCGCCCTAAAGGGTTAAGAAGCCGAGGTGCGAGTGGGCGACCTCCTCGACCCCCTCCCTCGCCCCGGACACGTTGGCGGCTTAGCGTGCCACACAGAATGCCCAACACAGTGCCACACACAAACGGACGTGTGTAGTGGTGCCGCCCCCTTGCCCCGGCCACATAGTTGAGATGCCTGGCCCTCGTGGGCGTAGGCCGGGCGGGCGGAAGGCTCAGAACACACGCCCGGGCCTTCCTCGCCACCCTCCGAGGCCTGTCCCTCCAT